TAAGTATTAAATTCAAGTTCTTTAGGATAGGACACCCTTTGGAATGATCTTTGTTACATACCATTTACCTATGCTCTAGACTTCTCTGGATTTTAGCATGTGTTTTTTGCTTGATATTGTTCGCATTGATTATAGTTCCATCTTATCTAGGTCATTATCCCTCATTACTTCTGGACAATATTTAATAACCATTCCGTTGTATATAGTCTTGTATTTAAGTTAGAATCTTCTTTTTTAGACAAAAAGTGGGAGATGTAGTGGGTAGGCATTCCAGCTTTAGTCTGGAAGTTCCAACCTCCATTGAGGTTTTGGTAACTATCAGGCCCACAAGGCAGTGCCAAGGGAGGGCCTTTTATTTTATTTTACAATACCATTCAGTTCTACATATCAGCCACGGATTCCCTTGTTATCCACGTCAACAGCCAGCATAGCATGGCAACCTTCTGTGAGTAATAGTAGCTCATCCACATTGTAGTAACCAACCAATTTCTAATTGGACTTAAGACCTACTCAACAAGAGGGATACTATGTCTTGTACTGGAAAGTTAGCTAATTACTCAGTGCTAGTGAAATTATGGTTTTATGAGGAGAATTTATAATAACCAATTTACTACACCAGCATAATTCCTTAATATAATCTATAAACATTTATCCTTACACCCACAGGTACTTGTATTCTCCATTCCTCATCAAGGAAACTTCTCTTTGCAGTAGATGGAGACTGCTACATAAAACTACAACCAAACAAAATGCAGAATTGTGGAGCCCAGTTCTCTCAAATATTATTTAAGGACCAGCCTTAATAATATTCTTTCCAGGGGCCCAGAAGAGGAGCTATGAATGGCAAGATTTATTTTTAGGAAAAGAATCTAAGTTCACCGACCTCTTTTGTCCATCTACTTTATCCCTCTGGGATAAAATTCTGTCTACACAGCTTCAGTTTTACTCTCAAGCCTAGCTCTTTTCTTGCCTGATTTTTCTCCACGTTTATCTGCTGCCCCTCTAAGTTCTGTCTTAATTCTCTTATCTTAGTTCCGCCCCATCTGGGTTCTCATCCATCTAGTTCCTTCCCATCTCAGCTCTCTGCCCATCTCCTTCTTTCCCATATTGTTCTCCCTCATCTTGTTCTTCCCCAT